ACCTACGCCCATCAGGTAAACCTTCGATCTCTCGAGTAGAACTCTCAAGATGGGAATGCATTAAGTCCAAGAAGACCATGAAATTCAAATGAATCATGTATATATATCTCTATATACCATTCAATTCACACTATGAATTATTCAGTCGATTATATGAATTCCTCTCTCAATTCATTCACATAACTCAAATCAATCAAGAGGTGGCCAAGCACTTGATTGCATTAAGCACAATAATTCATAGACTATATGAAAATCACAATTTTGGATAAATCATAAAGATAAAAATATATTCATTAATATGATTAGGCTCTCCTCAGCCCTAGCAAGAAACAAATCAATTCATGATAGAAGAATTAAAGCAAACAAAAGAAAAGAAAGAACTCTTGGAATCGCCCATGATGCTGAGATCTCCTCCTCTTGCCGCCACCTTCTTCTTGAATTCTTGCTCCTTTCTTGACTGATTGCTCCTTTCTTCTTGATTCAATTCCCAAGATCGAGTGATTGTGTGATCCTAAAGCTGGTCCGCCCCCTCCTTTATATAGCTTAAAGGGGAGGGGGTGGTCTCCTACTTCCTCTTGAAGTTGATTTTTACAAGAATAGAAAGTCCTATCCTAATTCTAATCTTATATTTTTATCTAATGAATTCAATCCTCTTATCTCTCTAAGATTACATCAAGAATTTAGATATGGAAGGACTCTTCTTAGTTTCTTGTTCTTGGATTCGTATTAGACCTCCTCTGCGAATTGGGCTTCAGCCAGGCTTTTCTACAAGTTGGGCTTCAGCTGCGGATTGGGCCTTTCTACGAATTTATCCCGATTTGAGGCCTGGATTTGACTTCGATGTAGGCCGAATCTGCGAAAGCCCAAAACATGAAAGTTGTGGCTTTTTCTTTTATATTTCCAGTGGATCTTGAATCAGCCCATTCGGAGTTCGGATACGCGAGTTAGGCCCAGATTACTGAACGATATTGAAACTGTGAAAAATCATCTTATTTGTCTTTCTTTGCTCCTGATGCCATCTTTCATGCCCTGAACAGAAATATGAGTCCAATTAAATGCTAATTTGGTATAAAAGACATAATAATTGGGGATAAAAATATGATAAATTCTACTCTCATCAGAACCGAAAGGACGGTGTGAACAGGAGAAGAACTCGAGCAACTAGGTAAAGGTGCAACCTCAAATCCAAAAGCAAGGCAAGTTGGCATAAAATAAATGAAGCCTGGGGCCCTCCTATTTATAGCCACTGCGCCCACAAACTGATGGCTCAGATTATGGCGAATTTGACGGTTTGTAATCAAACTGACTGCACGTCTTCTGAAACTGAAATATGACTAGCTACATGTCTTCCATGATTAAGGTAATGCCGGCTGCACGTCTTTCGAAACTGAGAGCCGTTTTGGCGTGCTTTTTGGCATTTAAAAAGTTCAGAAATCGCCTTACATCCGCGTGTGTATTTAATGCGATCAGTCAATCCAGTTTGAATTTTGGGTCAAATCCACCCGTCACACTCCATGAACTCCTCGCGCTAAGGTAGAACCCTTAGCCCGAGGAGTGGGGGGCAATTGATGGAGGGTGATTTGACCTGACCTCCTAAGAAGGTGACATGTGGACGTGTCGCAACATAAGTAACAGCTCAGCGTGACAACCTGGCTACAACTGAGTAACGAGCTCGTTGAAAGTCCTCGCAGGTCAGCTCGCTACATTACAGCTCACCACGGAACGAGCTCGCTAGAACGCGAGCTCAGGGACCCTAGTATGCTGAAAGGGAACACTCCAAGCTAAGTCTATCCCAGCTTGCGAGCTCGGACAATCAGCTCGCTCCAATACTTAGGCAAGAGGACCGCCTCAAAGGCAACCTCAGGTGGAATCACCTCGGGATACCTCCAGGAGCTCGCTATGGGATAGCTCGCTACAAGGCAGTTCGCTATTGAGCGATGCGGCATTTTCAGGAAGCTTCTTATTTGACAAGACCGCACCCGTCAGACTGCACCACGTCTCCTGACTGACGGCATAGTCCCTACCAGCCCAGCGGACTGCACCCACATCTCTCAACAGGTGGCGGCATGTCTGTCCTTTCTAGGTCGTGTCTCTCATCTGATTGGGCAGTACTCTACAGCGGTTACCTGTGTAGCCCTGGCAAATAACGGCTGCAATAGAGGGCTAGTGGCAGTTACGCCCAATTTAACTAGAACATCAGTATTTAAAGGCCCCGGTTTCCAAGAGGCGGAGGTAATTAAACTGATCTAGCGCTATCTGCACTCTTAGCTCTCTTTGCATTTCTTACAGCTCTCTCAGAGTTATAACTTAAGCATTGGAGTATTCCCACTGGGTGAGCTCCCTGAGAATCCTTCACCTTCCTCTTCTCAGGTACCGTCTGTCGTCAGGTAGGAGCCAAGCATCCGCCAGCTAGGAGTGCCCGAATTGCACTGCATCAAATACCAACATTGAATTTGGTTATTCAGGATTTGAATGTTATAACTGTTATTTGATTAACAATTGGATCATGTATAGATTTGACCCTATTTGATCCAACTAAAGTTCAAGTTTGATTAAAAAATAAAGGTTCAAACTATGATGCCAAAAAAAACTTATGACCAATCACCTGAAAATATAAAAGTGGTAACCAATTTGATAGGTTTTCATCAAAATTCATGTATGCAAGTAAATTTATTATACATGTATAAGTTAAAAGTAATTATTTTTTAACCTTTTTAACACAAATATTCTTTGAATAAGTTATTGAGGTCCTGTTTGGGTGGGCTTTAGCTTTGATGGAGCTATGTTGAGTTTTGACAGAGCCGCATTGAATTCATTGGGAAGTGATTTATTAGCTAAACTAAAGCATATACATAGCTTCTGAGTTTTTCACCAAACGTAGCTCCTGCTTTCTATGTGGGGACCTACTTGCAAAGTCAAAAGTTGGTACGTGAAAGCCCTTCCAAAGGAGCAATCAATATCTCGTTTGGTATAGCTTTTGTGTTGGAAGAGAATTGCAATTATTAAGGTCATGTTTGGGAGTGCTTATGTTAAAAACAAGTGCTTATTTGAATAAACACTTATTTGCATTTAGCACCCAATATTTTCAAGTGCTTATTTTAGCATTTATTTTCATATTGGGCACTTGGTAGTCTTTTCTCCCAATAAGCACTTAAAAAAGCATTTGTAACTATTTTGTCCTTCATTTTCTTTCAAACTTTGAAAACATTTGAAAGTACTTTTATTAAATTTCTCTTATGAAAGTAATTTTATAAAAAAATACTTTTACACGAAAACACTTTTTATAAAATTCAACTAGGGATAATTTTCATAAGTGGTATTTTAAAATTCAACTAGGGATAATTTTGGAATAAAAAATTGAATAAGTGCTTATTGTATAAGCACTTAAAAAAGCTGGAAATTTGGGCCTAAAAAATAAGCCCTTATTTTGGGCTAATTTCCCAAACACCAATAAGTGCTTAATGGTGTGGCCCTCGGCCCAAAAAGCGGTATTTTATAAAATTCAACTAGGAATAATTTTATAAGTGGTATTTTAAAATTCAATCAGGATAATCTTAGAATAAAAAAAATTAAATAAGTACTTATTCTATAAATACTTAAAAATAGCTGGAAATTTGGGCCTAAAAATCAAGCCCTTATTTTAGGCCTATTTCCCAAACACTAATAAGTGTTTAATGATGTAACTCTCGCCCAAATAAACACTTATTTTTAAGCACTCTCAAACATGTCCTAAGTTGGCACGGCTTAGCATGACTCGGCCATGTCAAGCATTTAAGCATGACCAAGTCATTGTAGTAACAAGGCTGTGGTAGGCTTAGCACAAAGCCCCATGCGGTTTTGAGGCCCATTGTATAGCATAACATGGCTTATATAGTTTGAATACCCAAAAAAAAAAGGCTTGTATAGTTTAACTGTGCTGGATCGACCCATATATGTAATTGATCAAATCAATTGTATTATTGTATACATTAAATTTAGATGAAATAAAATTTTTTGATTTTTTTTTTCAATTTGTTGTTTAATTTATTAAGGTGATGTTTGGCATCGATGCCATTTTTTGAGAAAATGGCACCATATAGGTGCCACATAAGAGAAAGCGATGCTTCAAACAACATCCTCTTATTTTGGTACCGTTTTTCTAGAAAAATGTTGCTCCAGACCATGCCTTGGAAATCAAGAAAGTATGGTATGAAGCAACACTAAACCCAATGTTTTATGAGAAAACAATGTGTTGCTGTCGATGGTGCAATGAGGTGGCATCATCTTGGACGTTGGATAATATAGATCAATGTTGAAAGCGTTGCTGCCATCACTGATACCAAACAAAACTAGTGCTGTTTTCTCAAAAAACGCCTATATGGCAACACCGGTTCCAAAGAAAACGGTGTTTACAATTCTACATACCTAACACTAATTTTATGAGAAAACGGTACGATGTTCCCTACACCGATGCGAAACACCTACTAAATGTCCATGTTCTTTTTGTTAATTTTTAAAAAATTTCTATAACTTTTTACTTAACAAAAAATAAACAAAAGAAAAAGTAAAAAATTGAGATGCTTGTGGGGCCTACCTGGCACCAGCCCGCTAGGGCTTGGGCCTAGAGCTGTGTCGGGCATCTCTTTTGGAGGATTTATGTGGAATAGGCACGGCCCACATTCCAACACTAATTCCAAAGAAATTTATAAGAATAGTTTTATATTACAGTCATGTTTCTTGCTGGTTCGAATTTCCTACCCACAGTAACCCTACCCACGTACATTGAGATCTGAATTTCCTACCCACAGAAATTAATGTCGTATTCTGGTGTGTATGAGATCTGAATTCGTTTCTCACATCAATATATTTTGGCTGATTTTTACGAGCACAGGCTCACAGCCTTCGCGTTCTTGTGTGAGAGCTTAGCTCGGAACAGTAAATTATTGTAAGTTGTGAGTTGTGACCCAAAAAGCAACTCGTACTACATATACGATAACAATACGACCATATACGATAGCAAACGACTTCGGTTCTGTCTGAACTCTGAACTCTGAGTCTAAAGTCTAAACCCTACCAGCAATATAGAAGCATAGAACAGAACACCACTATCCAATTTGTCAATTTCTTCTTCCCTCTCTCTCTTTTTATTTCGATTTATTGGCGCTAAACTACTCAACCAAAGTTCCCGCCGTTTTTTCACTTCAAAAGCTCTGCAACAAAAACCCGCCTTCTCCGGGTTCCTCTTCCTTTGTTACAGACTTACACAACACTCTTCACTCGGTTCAGGTCCTCCCTCCCTCCCTCTCTCTCTCTCTCTCTCTCTCTCTCTCTCTCTTGCTTATTCGATTTAGGCCTGTTAAAAATGGGATCGTCGGCAATATTGGATGCCAATCCAACTGCCGTGAAATCGACTACTCCAAAGAATCGAGTGGATTCAGGTAAATAGGTTGTTGTATTTATTTATTGATCATACCACTTGAGGGGTTGTTTTCCCTTTGATCTCTTCGGTATCTCTATTGGTATATTGAATGCGCGAATCCTATTTTGCCTTTTCTTACAAATTTCATATACATTGTTGATTTCAGCCTCTCATCGCTAGAAGGGTCTACTTTATTTGATTCTGGGTTACATATTATTAAATGGTATTTTTGTTTCAGGAATGAAGGACAAGGCCAGAAGCAAATCAAAGCCCGTCATTTCCGATGCTGGTAAAATGGATGTAGATGAAGCAACCAATGTCAACCCAAAAGAAAAGAAGCGTAATGCGTCTGAGAGCAATAAAGAACCTACTGGTTCTCGCAAGATGCCAAAGCGAGCTGCTGCCTGTGCCAATTTCAAGGAGAAATCTATTCGTTTGCCTGAAAAGTGTTCTATCGTTGAATCAAAGAAGGGCCCATTGGTGGAAGAAGAGATAGTAGCGGTGCACCTGACTTCTGGCCCAAATGTTCCTCATCCGAATAGAAGACTTACGGATTTCATTGTACATGATGCAGATGGAGCTTCTCAACCCTTTGAGATGACAGAAGTTGACGAGATGTTCGTCACTGGTGTTATATTGCCTATGGATGGAAGTTCAGACAAAGACAAGGACAAAGGTTTCAGGTGTGAAGGCTTTGGGAGGATAGAGTCGTGGGCAATCTCTGGGTATGAAGAGGGGTCACCTGTAATTTGGATCAGCACTGAGGCTGCAGATTATGAATGTCTTAAACCTGCAAGTTGCTACAAGAAGTTGTATGATCATTTCTTCGAGAAGGCTCGTGCTTGTGTTGAGGTCTTCAAGAAATTATGGAAGCCTTCCGGAGGAAATCCTGACATAAGTCTTGAAGAACTTATTGCTGGGGTCGTTCGTTCAATGAATGGAAGCAAGAACTTCCCTGACATGGTGTCTATCAGGGAATTCGTTGTCTCACAGGGTGAATTTATCCATAACCAACTTGTTGGTTTGGATGAGACATCTGAGAAGAATGATCAGATCTTTACTGGGTTGCCTGTGCTGGTTGCTCTTAGAGATGAGGCTAAGAAAAGGGGGGACTTTGTGCCCTCAAATGCTTCATCATCCGGGGTTCTGAGAATTAAGGATGGGGGAGAGAATTTGAAGGGGTCCAGTTCTTCCACCTGCACGTCAGAGGAAGATGAGGATGAGAAGTTGGCCAGATTGTTGCAGGAAGAAGAGTACTGGCAATCAATAAAGAAGAAAGGGCAGCGCCACAACAATGCTCCAAGCAAGTTCTATATCAAGATCAACGAAGATGAAATAGCAAATGATTATCCTCTACCTGCATATTACAAGACCTCCGTTGAAGAAACAGATGAATATATTGTTTTTGGCAGTGACGTTGAAACGTGTTACCCTGATGAACTTCCTCGGAGTATGCTTCACAACTGGACACTCTATGACTCCGATTCAAGGCTTATTTCTTTGGAGCTGCTCCCAATGAAACCCTGTGCTGAAATTGATGTAACAATCTATGGGTCAGGGATTATGACTACTGATGATGGCAGTGGGTTCTGTCTTGATGATGACCCAACCCAATCTTCTTCAAGTGCTTCAGGAGCCAAAAACGTGGATGGAATTCCAATTTATCTGAGTCCTATTAAAGAATGGATGATTGAGTTTGGATCTTCAATGGTCTTCATAACAATCCGAACAGATTTAGCCTGGTACTGTCTGTCTACTTTCAGTTGTCTTCTTTTTTTGTGGTTCTTGTATCTACAAATCAGCTTGCTTTACACAATTTTGCAGATGGATGTCTAGTCTGTAGTTTGCATGATTGATGCACATGTTTTTCATTTTGTTTATTTCAGGTATAGGCTTGGGAAGCCATCAAAACAGTATGCTCCATGGTATCAGCCAGTTCTGAAAACTGCGAGGCTTGCAATCAGCATTATTACGTTGTTGAAGGAGCAAAGCCGTGTATCACGGCTTTCTTTTGCAGATGTGATCAAAAGAGTGTCAGAGTTTGAGAAAGATCAACGGGCTCATATCTCTTCTAATCTGGCTGCAGTGGAGAGATATGTGGTTGTCCATGGACAGATAATATTGCAACAATTTGCAGAATATCCTGATGAAAAGATCAGGAGGTGTGCTTTTGTAACTGGTCTATCTGATAAAATGGAGCAACGCCACCACACAAAATTGATAGTAAAGAAGAAGTTGGTTTTGAAGAATGAAGCAAATCCAAACCCAAGGGCAAAAATGGCACCCACAATGTCACAGAGGAAGGCAATGCAGGCTACTACGACAAGGTTGATCAACAGAATTTGGGGTGAGTACTATTCCAATTATTTGCCTGAAGATCTAAAGGAAGAAAATAAGTCTGAAGGGAAAGAGGATGAAGAAGTTGAGGAGGAGCAAGAGGAAAATGAAGATGATGATTCTGAAGAGGCCAGAGAGGAAACCGTATTAGTTCGAGAGCAGACCCCAAAACCTCATTCAGCATCCAAGCAAACTAAATCTAGGTCCACTGCCAAGGAAATCAAGTGGGATGGAGATTCAGTTGGTAAAACATGTTCTGGTGAGGTCCTTTATAAACGAGCCATTCTTCATGGAGATGTTATATCTGTGGGGGATGCTGTGGTTCTGGAGGCTGATGATACAGAGGAAATACCTACTATTTATTTTGTGGAGTACATGTTTGAAAAATCAAACTCAAAAAAGATGGTTCATGGGAGGGTAATGAAGAGAGGATCTGAGACTGTTCTTGGAAATGCTGCTAATGAGAGAGAGGTTTTCATGACCAATGGGTGCATGGAATTTGAAATGGGGGATATTAAGCAAACTGTGGTTGTGGATGCCCGCTTGATGCCTTGGGGACATCAACATAGAAAGGATAACATTAATGCTGATAAGGTTGACAGGACAAGAGCAGAAGAAAGGAAAAAGAAAGGGTTACCCATGGAATACTATTGCAAAAGCTTGTATTGGCCTGAGAGAGGTGCCTTCTTTAAACTTCCCTTTGAGACTATGGGTCTTGGATCTGGAATTTGCTACTCTTGCAAAATAAAGGAGGCAGAGAAAGAGAAAGAGATCTTGAAACTTAATTCATCCAAGACTGGATTTATATATAAGGGGACTGAGTACTCTGTTCGTGATTTTGTTTATGTGAGCCCTCATCAATTTGTATCAAGTACAGAGGAGCATGAAACATTCAAGTCTGGGAGAAATGTGGGATTGAAAGCTTATGTTGTTTGTCAGTTTCTGGAGCTTGATGCACCCAAAGGATCCAGCCAAGCTCTCCCAGGGTCTACCAAGGTTAAAGTCAGAAGATTCTTCAGACCAGAGGATGTTTCATCTGAACAAGCATACACTTCTGATGTTAGAGAGGTAATACCAACTTTTCATTTGATTATGTTGCAAAAAACTTTAGATTTGTTTGATATCACATTTGCATGATATTTGATCATAGTTGGAGTTTCTTCTGTCTATAATTCTGATAGTTTCTAATGGTGGATTTTCAGATCTTCTACAGTGAGCAGATTCTTAGTGTGCCTGTTGATACTATACAAGGAAAGTGTGAAGTAAGAAGGAAGTTTGATGTTCCACCTATGAGTGGTCATGCAATCTTTGAGCACATTTTCTTTTGTGAACATCTGTATGACACTGCTAAAGGAACCATCAAACAGGTAATTTGTCTTTAGCTTCTAGTTTTAGACAGTCTTCTGCACGGATTTTTATTTACTACTAGTAGTTGCTGTTGTTGTTGTCATTATTATTATTTATAGTTCTCAAAGTGATGCCTAGGCAACAAGGTGCCCATGGAGGGCAATCTTGCTCATCACTCTAACATATTTTTACATTCCTTGTTTGGGATTATAATAATAAAATAGACATCAAACTAAATTATTCATTTTGTGGGTTTATATACTAGTTTCTTTTTGTTATTTTCTTATTTGTTGGGGTTCAATCAACACACATGTTATGTTGTCTTAAACCCTTGAAAACTTCAAAACCTGAACCAATAAGCAAAGAAAAATGTAAGGTTTTGTCCAATCATTACATTCTTCTTCTCCCACCCTTCTCTTCTTATCCTAGGACAAAAACAAAGGCTAAGCCCCTATATTTACTTAATATACTTTTCTTTTTTCTCGTGAATATGCTGATTTTTTTATGTTTTAATGTAGAATTTCTACTTTTTTTTTCTTTTTTTTTTTTATGAAGATTATAGGTAATTGCTAATAAAAGATGGTTGCTGGTTGCCATAGAACCAGAACCTAAGGAATTACCCTAAGATTCATTATTTTTATGTAAAAAATTTCATTGCCTTGTGATTAGGCAACAATGTCCCTCTCTGTTGCCTAGCCTTCCCTGGGTGCCTTGAAAGCTATTCTGTTGTTGTTATTGTTATTTTCACAATCTCCTTATGATTTTAAATGCTATTTTTTGACAGCTGCCAGCTAATGTTAGAATAGAGTACTCAAAAAGCAAGAGTGCTGATGATGCTGCATCTAGGAAGAGAAAAGGAAAGGCTAAAGAAGGAGAAAGTTGTTTTAATACTGTTGATAACCAACAAGATGCATCCCCAGAAAACCGGTTGGCCACTTTAGATATCTTTGCTGGTTGTGGTGGCTTATCTGAGGGGCTAGAACAATCTGGTAATCTCCTGTCCGGTGCATCTTCAGTCGTCCTAATATTTTCTTGATTGATTTTGTAGCTATATTGGCCAAGTGATTGACTATGCTGCTTTCTATCCATGCAGGTGCCTCAATTACCAAGTGGGCAATTGAATATGAAGAACCTGCAGGAGAAGCATTTACTCTTAACCACCCAAAAGCATTAACTTTCATTTCCAACTGCAATGTAATTCTCAGGTGAGAATCTTGTTCAATTGAAATTTCTTAGAGATCAGATTTGGTTTGGTTTATCTTACTGGACTTGAAGTTGAGAACTATTTCAATCATCTAAGTTCTTAGCTTTTTATTCATCCATAAATGTGCTGTAATGCAGGGCCATAATGGTAAAGTGTGGAGATGCAGATGATTGCATCTTTACTTCTGAGGCTGCTGAATTAGCTGCAGCACTTGATGAGAACAAGCTTAACAATTTGCCACTGCCTGGGCAAGTTGATTTCATCAATGGGGGCCCCCCCTGTCAGGTCTGCATAGCCTTCTTGACTTGATGGATGATTCCCAGGTCATATTCAGTTAACATTACATCATAAATTTATGTAACTCAAGGTCTAGTTTCTTTGCAGGGTTTCTCTGGAATGAATAGGTTTAATCAGAGCACCTGGAGCAAAGTTCAATGTGAGATGATCCTATCATTCTTATCATTTGCAGACTATTTTCGGCCAAAGTACTTTTTGCTTGAGAATGTGAGGAACTTTGTATCTTTCAACAAAGGACAGACATTCCGTTTAACTTTAGCTTCACTCCTTGAAATGGGTTATCAGGTAGGTGCAAATCTAATGCTAAGTATTTCAAGATGATATATTTTGTGAAGTCTCGTGTTGGGCATCTCTCAGAAGTTTTTCAAGGGCTTTATTTGTGTTTAGGTGAGGTTTGGTGTCTTGGAAGCTGGTGCCTTTGGCATTTCTCAGTCTCGGAAACGAGCTTTCATCTGGGGAGCCTCTCCAGAAGAGACACTCCCTGAATGGCCTGTGCCTATGCATGTGTTTTCAGGTCCGGATCTGAAAATTACATTGCCTGATGATGTGCAGTATGCTGCAGTTCGGAGTACTGCTACTGGAGCCCCTTTCCGTGCAATAACCGTCAGAGATACAATTGGGGATCTCCCAGCAGTTGATAATGGTGCATCTACAACAACAATGGCGGTGGGTTTCTTCTCCACTGTGATAATCATGTAACTTACATGTTGATCCAAATTTCATATTTCATGCTCTCTTTTTCTTTTATATGTCACAGTATTCCGGTCAACCTGTATCATGGTTTCAAAAGCAAATTCGAGGGAACATGGTGACCTTGCATGATCACATATCAAAAGAAATGAATGAACTGAATCTTATCCGTTGTCGTAAAATTCCAAAGCGCCCAGGTGCTGATTGGCATGACCTCCCAGATGAAAAGGTGTGTAATCTTGCAACTGCTGTTACAGTCTTTTAGACCTATTGGGATCCTGATGTGTGTCTGTATCTTTTTCTTTCTTTTTTTATCTTATCATTTTTTTTTGGGGGGGGGGGGTTGTGGGAAAATTGAGGATCCTGATCTAATAAGCTAGTTGCTCCACTATAGTCATCAATTTCACTTAATGAAATGCAGGTGAAGCTGTCTACTGGACAAGTGGTTGATTTAATACCATGGTGTCTACCAAACACAGCTAAGAGGCACAATCAATGGAAGGGCCTATTTGGGAGGTTGGATTGGGAAGGGAACTTTCCAACTTCCATCACAGATCCACAACCTATGGGCAAGGTGGGGATGTGCTTTCACCCTGATCAGGACAGGATAGTTACAGTTCGAGAGTGTGCACGGTCACAAGTAAGTTATTACTTATTTCATTCTAATCAGTATCATTACTCAGTCAAACAATATATTTCCTACAAACCAAATATTAACAACTTAATAGAGTAGTGCAAATTCATCAGCCATATTAATTCTATATTCTTGGCAAAAAGATTGATATATCACTTGTCTGTGGGTTTGTGTCATTGTGTGTGGCTGCAGGGTTTCCCGGATAGCTATCAATTTGCTGGTAACATTCAACACAAGCATAGACAAATTGGAAATGCTGTCCCTCCACCTTTGGCATTTGCATTGGGGAGGAAACTGAAGGAAGCCCTGAAGCAGAGACAGTAAACATTTCCTTTTCCATTTTATGGTTATATTCAGCATTGATAGGAAATGGTTTTTCTTTATTTCCTATCATATTCAGCCTTTATGAATGTGATTATTCATCATTGCCAACCATATTCCAAGCTAATTTGGTATTGAGTTAGCTTGTATGGTTTTGTAATTGGAATTTGTACAAGAACTTAGTAATTTAGTCTTTTATTAGCCAAGCTGTATCTCATTTTTCTGGCATAGTTTTGTTTGATCAAAGATCAGCAGCTGATTTGTCCTTTCTCTTCTACTATGGTTCATGCATTCTTCCTTCCACTTACTTGAATCAAGTTCCAAGCAAGCTACGGAGCATGCGAAGAAAGCCCCAACTCTAAACCAAATAAGGGCATTATTAGCAGCTGTGCTCAAGCTATTGTGCTAATGCGCAGCAGTGCAAGTAGAGTTTAGATGGAAAGCTGTTGTTACTTAGAGTCTGCATTTGTTTTGAATCTTGCTAACAACAACAATTTTCTTTTGACTGATGGTGAGTTTATTGGGTATTTGATCCATGAATATTGTAAATTCATATAGTTGACACTATGGCCCTGTTTGCTTTTTGGGAAGTTACTTACCTTGGTAAATGCACTTGGGTAAATATTTCATAGGAAACACTTACCTGGGTAAGTGCATTTGTCCATGTTCTTTTACTTCCCAAGTAAACAAAACAATGACTGTTTTACCCATAAAAATCCATTACTGAAAGGGGCAATTTAGTCCCATCAAAGTGTTGGCAATTTTCTTCCTAGGTGGGAAAGTTGCCCATTTGTGAGATGGGTAAGCGATACTTAGGGAAAAATAAATTTTCTATGGGCCCCCACATAAATATGAAAAAAGCAATGTTCAAAGAACCTGAGAAGGGAGAGGTTCATGGGTTAGAGGTTTGATTGGGGTTGAATCGGAGGTTGAACTGTGATGATGTGGCATATACATATATACAAGTCATAAGTTTTATATATAATATATTTTACAACATTTAATATATTTAAATATAGTGGATGAATGGTAAGCTTAATTTTTAAAACAAATGACTAGGGTTCAAGACTTTTAATTTACATTTTAAAATATGTGCTTAATAATATAATCTGTACAATGGTCATTAATTAGTATAAGAAGTGGATTAGTGGTAATTAAGTAATCTATGAAAATAAGCGGTCTCGGGTTCAAATCTTGTTAATAACATTTTAAAATTTCACTTATGAACTTAGGTGGTTTCATGAAATCAGGACTGGTTCATCGGTTTTTGGTTTAAACTGGCCAGTCAGCCAATTTTTATTGGGTTTTGAGCAATTCTGGTTATTGGGGTGTAATCGAATCAGTCAATGCCTTGGGTCATGGTTCAATTGGTTTGATTGGCTGGTTTGGTCTGGTTTTCTAAACATTGAAAAAAAGAACATGGGTATCTTGGTTAATGAGAATCAAAATCCCATTGGCCAAATTTTCCCTCAAAATCCAAAAAATGAATGGGCTTTACAATAAATGTGACATTTACCATTGGATATTTGAGTTAAATTTCCCTTCCAAGTGCCTAAGTGGTGGGTGTTAAATCAAGTAGCAACATGAAAAAAAAGTTTTATATCCTGATTACATCTCAATTAGTGGAGTGTTGGGAATGGCACTTCATGGAATGAATAAGCATAAACTTGTGGATGTCAGGGTTCAAAATATTGCAATGAGAGGGAGGTGATTTCAGTTGTTGCATATGTTACATTAAAATACCTAATTAAAAAAGTTTCTCTATAGCATATCAAGAGTATTGATACTTTAAACTTTGGATGTTTATAGCAATAAGAAAAATAAGCTCAAGTAATGCCAATTTTGGATATTTTTATGGATCCCATATGCTAGAGGTGCTTGTTACCAAGAAAAGGTGCAAGTTGGGTTGGGTTAGCAAAGGTTGAGTTCAACACTAACCTAAGGTGTTGAACCCCTGACCCTAATCCTAACCCTAACCCAATTCAATCTAAGGCCACATTTGGTTTGCATGAATAGGGCTATGGAATCAGAATCCGAATGGACTATTCTGATTTCAATTATTTGGTTGGGTAGAATGGGAATCCCATTCCCATTTCTGCTGGATTGGCATTCCCCCATTTGAGGGAATGGCCATTCCCTGCCCCTCCCTTGGGAATGAAATCCCATTCCAGTTGATTCCAATTCCCATTTTCATTCTTGTTTGAACCCAACAAATTATGGGAATAAACCATTATGATTCCAAAGGATTTCGACTCTGACTCTGAACCAAACGGATCCTAAAATTTTTCAGACCCATTATTTGTGGAGCTTTTCTAATATGTTGAAAGAACTTAGTGGTTGATGCATTGGCATTAGGAGAAATGTCTCTTACAAGGTAAAATTGTAAATTTCTAATTATATTATGTTGTGAAGACTCAAAGATATGAAAATGCTTGAATACACTAGGGGAATTCTCACAAATCCTACATATACATTAAAAATAATAAATTTAATGTTGAAATAACTATGAATGAGGTATCAATATATAAAAAATGCATATTTAATAATTTATATTTAGAAATGCATTGCAATCAACATAGCAAGACATGTAGTTTATAAATATGGTGATAATGCATCAATTAAGAGTCCAAGAAACAAGCTATATAGATTTTTACAAATTACTATATAAATAAAGCCATTAATATTTTTACTATTTATTTAAGTCATTATTAATGAATAACTAGAGAAATGTATAATTAATTTAAAAATATATTAAATTCAGGACATGTTTCAAAATATTGGTATCATATATCGAATCAAGAAGCTTCGAAACATGGTTAAAAGTAACAATACAATACACTCCGTACTGGGTGTATATATAAGATTTTAACTATTCCAAAGAATGTTTTAAAATATGTATATATAATGTTATAAAGACATATTTTATCAATAAATAATATATAATTATGTTCTACATGTAATATATGTATTATTTTATATTTAATTTAGTTTTCATTTTTAATTTATAAAAATATAAAAAATTGCAATTTGAGGCCAAAGGGAGTTTTTTTTTGTGAAAATAGAGGGCCAAGGCGCCTATGTTATCTTGGGATGCATAGATCTTGAAAAGTTACCCAAAATAAAAAAAAGATTACTCCAATTGGGCATCAGAGTGCAAAGTTATGGCCTTTGAAAGTTTGCATACATGTTTAGTGTGTAACCTGTGACTCGGTCATTGGGTCAACGGTCCAATCGCTTGGGTTGGATGGTTTTTTGACATGATAAATGGTTTTGACCAATTTTTAGATTTTATTAAAATTGGACCCAAAATCATGACCGAGTGACGGTTTGAATGGTTCAACTGATCAAGTCAATGGTGGATTGAAAACACTGATTCCAAACTCTAATCTATAATGTGACAAACCTACATACAAAAATTTTGTCGAGCTGAAACTCTTTGCATATTTGTAGTATCCATACTTTGACCATGCTTGGGAATGGATATGTATCGCAATATACTTTGAATGCACATGAACATGTTGGAAAGATATAAACCACTTGGAAGCTATAGAAGAAATTACCACAAATGCTATAAATTCACTAATAACACTAAATGTAAGGTTAAATAATTACAATTAATGTATAAATACATAAGAAATGTATACTTTAATTGTTTATATGAAGAAAAACATTTCAATTTATATAATAGGACAAATTGCTACTGTACAACTTTAATGATAATGTATCAATCAAGAGCTCAAGAGACATACTATATAAACTTTTATAAATTACTCCATGCATAAAGTTATTGTATATTATTATTTATTTAAGTTAAATTAACTAATAATTGCATAGATATATAATTAATTTAATAAACATTAGGTTCATAATAATATAAATGATCCAAGACACATTCACAAGGCTTTAAAAACTGACCCGAAAACGGAATCGTTCTAGCTACTGATTTCTAGGTCATCAGTTTGAATGTCCGGGTTGAACGATCCGAACAGTTTACATTAGGGCAAATATTTATATGAGAAAGGAGAACTGGAGAAGAGATTGTTGTTGACTGAGAAAGAAAAAAAAAGAAAGAAGAAAAGAAGGAAAGAAAGAAAGGAAGGAGAAAGGAAAAAAAGAAAAGGAGAGGAAGGAAAGGAAAGGAAGGAGGAGGTAAGAAGAAGGAAGAGGAGGATGATTTGACTCTCACCGGCGACGATAATGGTGACAGCGACGGTGAGGGGTGGTAACAGATGCAGATCTGAGATATGAGTTCTCGGATCTTAGATCTGATACCGAATTCTTTGCAACGTCTGTAGTCTTCTTCTTCTTCTTCTCTCTCTCTCTCTCTCTCTCTCTCTCTCTCTCTTTGTGTTGGATCTCAGATTCTCAGTTTCTCCCCTATCTACAACTTTCTTAAACTACGAACCGCTATCTAGGTCAAACAATTTGATTGTTCGACCGCCCAGGTCAGCAGTTTTCTGACAAAATCAACATTTTTTGACCTAGGAACGGGTTAGGGGTGAAACAGAACCGGTTGTTTGGACGGTTTTCGAGCCGAATGGTCTGAATGTTCGGGTCAACGATGCTTCAAAAACATTGCACAATCATATGCAACTATTATATTTTCATTTTAAAGTTAATTATTTTCTATTTTATTATTTTACTTTTATATATTAAAAATAAGTCAAATTAATCATAAATCATTAAATAATTTGTAAATAAAATTGTTATTTTTGTATTCATTATTTATTGTAATATTAATTATATATATTCTTAGTTTAAAAAATATATCAAATCCATTATAATTTCTAAAACACATACCATATGCAAATTCATAAATTTGAAATGTAAAAGCACAACAATTAATAGGGCATTAAAACAATTAAATGCACAATTAATAAACATTTAAACTAGAATTTCAAAAGCATGCTTTTTATCATTTGATACGAACCAATAGAGACTGATACGATTGATATGTATTGGTCAATACCAAACAATATAGGCCATACATATGGGCATGGGAGGAATGATGTTAAATGATTTAAGTGAAGAGTCCAGTATGAAGGTACTAAGGGTATAAATGATTTCATTAGTGAAATTGATAAGTGTGTCATTGAAGAGCAGAATAAATCCATCTAGGAGTGCAAATGGATCAGATCATGATTCGATCCAATTCGAGATCCAATCCTATTTGGTCGAATTCGGATCATCCCTGTTCGGATCGGATTCAAATCACCCTTTTCCGATCCGATATATATTATATATTTATAAAAATAAATATAATACATATATATGC